ACCTGCCCTCTTAACCATGAACTCCTGGCCTTTCTCATTAGGAATATTAGTTTTCTGCAACATCAGATCGCTGCAACCTTCACTCCTCATTGATTCTCAACATACTTAATTTTCAAGCCCCTGTATTAGTTTCCTCTAACAAATTTTCACAAACTGAATGGCTTGAACAACATAGATTTATTTTCTCACAATATTCTGAAGGCTAGAAGCCCCCAATTAAGGTGTCAGTGGGGGCATGCTCCCCTAAAATTTCAAGAGGAGGATCCTTGACTATTCCAACTTCTGATGGTCACTGGTGATTCCTTGGCTTGGGGCAACGTAACTCCCATCTGTCTTCACATGGCCTTTCTGCCCCTGTGTCTCTTGGTATCTTCTTTTAAGGATACCAATCACTGGATGTGGGAGCACCCTAATCTAATATGACCTCATCTAAATTTAACTAATTACATCTACAAAGCCCTTATTTCCAAATAAGGTCAAATTCACAAGTTGCAAGTAAATATGAAGTTTTGGGGGATACTATTGAACTCAGTACAGACCCAAAAGAAAAAGTCCAGCTTCTGGGCTGTGTTAAGCAGCATTCACTAGGTTAGGATATCCCACAAGATAAGCTCTGGGTTTGCCTCCATATGCCAGTGTTCAGTGAGGACACAGCAGACTCTGAAGGAATCTGATCAATATTGTGGATGTGAACTGTCTGAAAACCCTTCAGTGCGTTTTACAGAATCAAATTATGTTTTAACCTAGATACCTATATTTTGGTAAGGCAATGAAGTGGCCTAAATCATTGCTGTTTTGTTTTAGTTTGGGGGGATTTTTCTGGCTTTTTTGAAAGACAAGGACAAGGTCTCACTGTCTTGCCCAGACTGGCTTTGAACATCTGAGCTCAAACAGTTCTCCTGCCTCAGCCTCCCAAGTAGGTGAGACTACAGGAACACATCAGGCATACCTTTTTTTTTTTTTTTTGAGATAGAGTCTTGCTTTGTCACCCTTAATAGAGTGCTATGGCATCATAGCTCACAGCAACCTCAAACTCTTGGACTCAAGCGATTCTCTTGTCTCAGTCTCCGAGTAATTGAGACTACAGGCACCTGCCACAACACCTAGCTATTTTTTTTAGAGACAAGGTCTCAGGCTGGTCTCAAACCTGTGAGCTTAGGCAATCCATCTGCCTCGGCCTCCCAGAGTGCTAAGATTACAGGCATGAGCCACCGCACTTATACATTTTTTTTTTGGCAGTCTTTGGCCAGGGCTGGGTTTGAACCTGCCACCTCCCACATATGGTGCCAGTGCCCTACTCCTTTGAGCCATAGCCAGTGCCCAAGGTATACATTTTTTTTATTTTTTTGAGACAGGAGCCTCAAGCTGTCCCCCTGGGTAGAGTGCCGTGGCATTACTGCTCACAGCAACCTCCAACTCCTGGGCTCAAGCAAGTCTCCTGCCTCAGCTTCCCAAGTAGCTGGGACCACAGGCACCCCCCACAACGCCTGGCTATTTTTTCGTTGCAGCCGTTATTGTTGTTTGGTGGGCGCAGGCTGGATTCGAACCCTCTACCTTGGGTGTATGTGGCTGGAGCCTTAGCCACTTGAGCCACAGGTGCTGAGCCAAGGTATAATTTTTTAAAGTGCTTTTCCTTGGGTGGTGGGCGTAGCTCAGTGAGTAGGGTGCCAGCCACATAACACCTAGGCTGGTGAGTTCAAACTCCGCCTGGGCCAGCTAAAACAACAATGGCAACAAAAAAATAGCTGGGTGTTGTGGCGGGTGCTTGTAGTCCCAGCTACTTGTGAGGCTGAGGCAAGAC